TTTCCTCTACCTTTGCTTTTACACAGCAGCTGTTTGGCTGCTGCAGTTTTCAGGTTGAGTACCCTTTTCTGGAACAGTTCACCTTTATTCGCCTTGTTGTGCTACTCTGCATTTTCTCGCAAGCTCTTTATTTTTGGCTTTCTGAGTTTCTAAGATAGTATTTTTCAAAACAAATTTTTTGATTGACACCTACAGTAAGAACTACAGACACACCCATACACACACACACACAAAATACTTGAAACATTAATACAAAAAAGCTAAATAAAATGTTATATGTGGACTGTTTCTTCTACTGAACGTAGAGTGTCAATTCGTATTTGCCTCTATTTTCCAAGTAGAGAAGATTAAATATAGAGAATTGTAAGTGAAATCATACCAAAAACATGAATCAACTAATCAACACAGGTGGTAAGGCATTATAATCAGTTCAAAAGAAGCTCCAATAATTTGTGCAAGAAGGAGGATTAGCCGAGTGTCCTAATAGGAAATTTGACTGCATAGATTCAATTCCTTATTTCTTGGGAGATAAAAATCTCTAAATGATCCTATAGCTTATAATAAGATATTAAAATGGCATACCTAAGCTTTCAATAATGTCAGCACATATCAATTTAAGAAAAGCATTGAGTTATGGGAAATTATAACCTATGTGAAAGACTTAGACTTTAAAGAGTTCCATTGATGTAAAAGAAAAGCATGATTATTAAATTATTGGCCAACTGATGGCACTGGTTCAAATTTGAATCATTTAGGTCAGAGTAGCTCACTCTTGTGCCCCAAAGTTCAGATAGTCAAAAACACAGACCCCGTAACCTCAGCTAGTTGAGAGAAAATTCTCTAATTTTTAAAAGGAATTACACACTATTAAAGTAACCTTAGAAAGATATGAAGCAAAATATGGAAATATTATTTTAATTAATAATCTTTGTTACAACCTTAATTTTTTAAAAGAAATTTTGACTCATAGTGAGAATTTCTGTCTGGTTTTAAAGAGCTGAAGCTTATTAGATGGGACTTTATTGAAATGTTTAGAAGAATTTGACTAAGATTCTAATCAATGTTTAAATGGTTGGATCTGATTTATTAAATTTACAAGTTTGGCTTACTAGCTGTTTAAATGGTGTACAAATGTTTAGAGAAATTGCATTTGTTAGAGTGGTATATTTAATAAATTGGGCATTAAACAAAGAATAAATAGCAGTGAACATTATATTTTATGCACCAAAGTTTCTCTGGCAGAAAAAGTTTAGAAATGCCTAATATGGTGCTACACACATGCAAGGTGCCCAACAGTTTTGTTTTTGTTTTTTTTTACAAAGTTTCCTTGCTCTTCCCATGTAATTTTTATTTCATTTTCAATCCCATATTTTATTTTCACGCATCAATAACTGCCCCAGATGTGGTTTCTATGTCTTCACCGAGCCCCTGCTACTATTCATACTAAACTGAGGATACTCTAAGAATAATAAAGGAATTATAGGTTAAGCTTAACTTTGAGACAACCTAGCAGCTCCACCAAACTTTCTTAGGGATATTTTAGCAAGTCATGTTGAAATTAACCTAAGGTCTCACACAATTAAAAATTCTTGGGTCTTCCACTGTGCTTCCTAAGTTGAGGAAATGCACATTGTTTATGCAATTGTGTATGACCATGTTCTGCCGTAATCATCACAGCTCTAAACTCTTCAGATTAAGTACTAATTATATACTGAAAATACAGGAACACTTGCAGGGTGGAAATTCCCATTAGCATCACTTAATCTGGAATGATTTAAGTTCAAAAGGATCCCAATACATGGAAGTGGCTGTGGTGATGGCAGCAAGCAGTTGAAGCAATGGAAAGAAGGAGGTCTCAGATTTTTCTGTGGTCATATGAGAATGCAGGGAATTGCATTTTGCTCTGTGTTAAGGATAGCTGCTTTGCCCACTATTGCTTCTACCTGCCATTGTAAATCTGAGACTGGAGAGTTCCTTAATTATCTGGCCACTGATCTGGACCAAGCATCCTCGACACCTTGTGTATTTTAGACAAGTGAACACATAGCTTGACACAGATTGCTATTCTGACTTTCGGTTTGTTCCATATGTTGTGGAAGTAAGTTATAAAATATCAAAGACAGGTAACACACTAATTTTATTATCTTGACTTTGGAGAGCAGCGGTCTAGCCTCACCTCATCACAGCATGTTTATCCTGCTTCAGACAACTGCAGGTTTCTATCATACTCTCGTCTATGCTGACTGCCTCTTGTTCCTGATATTGCTCTACTAGGGATCCTCTATTATTCCTGGCTCTGTAGCCTCAAATAAATTTGTTAAAGGTTGAAAGAAGGAGCTCCTAAGTGGATTGCATGTAGGAAAATACGATCACTCTTATTTCCAATTTTCATTTTTAAAGGTGGCATTAACTCTGAAATGTTTGGAATTTTTGCTCAAGCACAGATTACTTCTAGTTTTTGGCTAGAACATAATAATAATAGTGATGATGATGATGATGATGATGATGATAATGATATTAATAAGAATGAAAACTCTCTGAGAGATAGATCCAGAGTCAGAAAACTTATGTTTAAATCTCACTATTTAGCTGTATGACCTTGGACAAGTTAAGTAAGCTCTTTACTTTTATTTAAAATCTGCAAAGCGGGGTTAATAGAACCTACGTTAGGAGGCTGTTGTGGAAATTACCTGGGCAGTGAGAAATCTCATACTACTACTTGTACTACTTACTGAACACTTACCATACATACTACATGGTAAGTGTTCAGTGAGTGTTACCTTTTGTTAGACCCTACTGATGATGAGGAATATAATGTTACATGTTACAAATGGACAGTTTCATTTCATGTGATTCAAAACTTTTGCAGAAGCAGGGTTAAAAGAGATTTGGATAATCTATTACCTGCATGCCTCTTGCTCCCATCTTTCTTTGTGCTGTGTCCATTAAATTTGGTATAGTTAACGACAACCGCCTTGCCAATAGAGTCAAAATATTCTGCAATCTGTTCCGCTATGCCAATTTCATGAGTATTCAGCTCCTCAGCCCAGAATACCCATTGTGTAAAAAGTGCAATGAATTCCAGTTCACTTTTGATTACAGTGATCTGAGCCAAACACGAAACCTACTTGATCCAAGATGATCTGGGCTTTACAATGTTGTGCGTTACGTGATCTGCACGCTGAAAACAGGAGTATCTTTGAATTTCCTTTTCAGAAAACAGAATTCTTTTAATTAACATTTAAAAAAATTTCAGTATGTGTAATTGTTAACACCTGCTATGTGTTGCCAACAGATGTTTCTTACTTACCTAAGGGAACTGTTATAATTATTCTATGAGCTTAGTGCAATGGCATTTACCAAGATAGTTGGGAAACTTTTGTTGGTGACTTTGCATCTAATACTTGGCATTTCTTATAATCTTGTCCCCTATCACTGCCAGTCCCCACACCTCCTCCCCAACCTGGCCCACCAAAGGCAAAAAAGTCCTTTTGGGAGGGTACCAAAATGTTTCAAAACTGGTCATGCATACTTTAGTCTTTGTGAAAAGTTCCTGAAATTATGTGTATTCTAAAACATTGGAAAATTTACTTTTGTTTAGCAGCTAATCCTTCTAATGTTTAACATGGAAATCTTACATCTTGATTATAAATGTAAAAAGTATACTTTTTAGCAAGGTAATACCCTTCCAATAGCTTGGCTTCAAAAGAAGCTACAGCAAAAATGAGATTTTTCTTGATTTTTTTCCCTGACCATTTATAAGGTTTTATAAGCAGTAGATATTCAGAATCCTTCATTTATGATACTAATCACACAATTACCTACAGGCACATGTTAAATATGACACTGGTTTCAGCCAAATACTGGGCGAACTGCAAACAATGAATAAAGAGAGGCAGCTCCATTTATAACGGCTGTTTCAACAGAGCGCTACTGTAATCATAGCGATCTGAGGGTGACTCATTAATTAATTGATGTTCTTTTTTATTATGTGCTATTGAGTTAATGAGTAACTTGTGTGAGATAATTCTCTGAATGCATTGATTACTTGAGATATTTTCTGGGGCTTTCATACCAATGACATGCTGAATAGGTAGGAGGCGGTATTTGCTTTTGTGTGCTTGTTATTCGTAGGTTTGAGATGAGTACAAACCAGTGCAAAGACTTCCTAAAGTTATCTGACACACAAAGTATCCTAGGTCGGCCTCACAAGGAGGCTGAGTGCTCAGGGCAAGGCCTGTCACATAGTAGGTACTTAATAAATGTCATGTGAAATAATAGCTGTATTAAAATTTTGCTTCCTATTACCTTACATTGCATTAAAAATCACATTTAGGAAATATCTGTAATGGCATTTTTAAGAAAAAGTAATAATCAAAGGGCTTTTGCCAAAATTGTATTCTGCATTAATGGCCTATTACAATAAACATGTACCTTGTTTTTGCAGCTTAGTTAAGTGAACACTAAATATGTTTGGCCAGTATCATTTCTATGAAATTGTTTAAGTGACCATCCAGAGAGCGGTTTGCCTAAAGTGATAGTTGAAAAGAAATCACTTGTGTATGGTGTGTTTTACTACAGATGTAATTTTTAGCACCCTGGTTCAGTGAAGGAACAACATTCTTCCTGAAAATGTAGGATTTAGTTGAGTTTTTTGTTTTAATTCATTATGCAGGAACCAGGAAATTGGAAATTTAGTCTGACAAGAGCAACACGGTTGCTTTCAGAACGATCCCTTAAAATTTGTATAAATGTACAAAATTATACCCAGCAATTGCTACCTTCATTTTTGACAGTTTTATTTTCCCCACAAAAGTAAATAGCACCCAACTACCTAGCTCAGAGATCCTAAATATAATATTTGGAGAATGCGTTTGAGGTACTTTGTCTGCTTACGATTCACCTTTTGAAAGTAAATGTCCTTACACACTTTTCTTTTTCTTTTTCATAGTATGCTTTCCAGATATCATCTTAGATTTTGCCCATTAAGTGCAATCAAATAGTGTAATACCCCTTTTATTAAAAACATAAATCCGAATATTAAAGAAATGAATGAAAGAATCCAGCAGATATTTATTAAGCAAGATGAAAGTGAAATTACAAACACAGTTCAGCTTTTAAACTCAGCCAGCACTCTAGTGGAGTGGAAGTGCCTGGTCCTTCATCATAGGTAGCCTATATGAGATGCGTGTTGGAAAGGGAGCTTTTGCTGCTTGAGAAATCAATGCTCCATCGGAGATGTTCTACTGGAGGCTTCAGATAACAAGCTAAGTGACGTCAGGGCTACACAACACAAAGGGGAAAGCTGACAACAATTCAGGGACTTTGAGTAGTCAAGACAATTAGTGCTTCAGTCGAAAATGCTACTATTTATGGGCAATTAGCTGTAAAATGGCCTATTTCTGTCTTGTTCCACCATTTTATGGAGATTAAAGATAATCTAAGGAGATTAAGGCCTTAATCTTTAATCCAGGTGAGTAATTTTGTTTGTAGTAAAAAGCATAAGAATTCATTCCCGAAGGATTAAGCAAAAGACCTTGTTGGTCTTTGGGTGGCAGGAATAATTGAACAGCTTCAAGAAGCTGAGAGAAGTTTGTTCCCAGTTTACAAGAATTTTGACATATTGATAAGCATATGCAAAACCATTTAAATCTAAAAAAGATGATGCAAAAAGATACTGACAATTACATTTTTACATCCACATGAATTTCAAACAACTCTTAATGGGGATTAGCAGGGCTGTGTTAGGAAAACCACTTCTTACATATCTCCCCCACCTTCCTCCCATTTGTTCTGTTTTGCTTTTTTTTGGGTTTGGCTATGCAAGTCTTTTCATGAAATAAATGTACGGCTCAAAGGCTAAAATAATATCAATAGTTATTTTGTGGGCCTCTTGAAACTCTTTTTTGGGGGTATATGTCAAATTTGGAGGACATGTGACTTGAACACTCAGCCATAAAGCATCTGTAAAAATACGTATCGTTCACTTTTCACAGAACCATCTTCTTAAAAATGAGAGGCAATATCCAGATTCACACGCATGTTCAGAGTAAAGCTTTGCTTGAAAACAACTCAAATCCACACCAGCATGATTTTTCAGTTTAATATTTTGGCCCCAAACCAAGAATTCAGGTATCACATTTAATTTTTATCTGCAATGCATATTCGGCAGGACAAAGTATGTATGCAAGTAACACTGGGGAATATTGTTTCCTATACAAGTGATCAAGAAAAAAGAAGAAAAGAAAAAAGAAAGCCCACAGCACTAAAAGTTGCTCTAGTAAAAATATGCTTCATTGTGCCTGTTGAGGAATCAGATCTGCTGAAAAGTAGTTTTGAGTACAGGGAACAGAAGCAAAGAAGCAAAGTGTGAGCAACCCCAAAGAAGGGAACACAGTCGCAACTTTATTTCCTTAACTGTAATTGAAATAATCAGTCTCCAAAATTTTTGTTTCTAGAAAGCTTTCTTTTTTATCAGCTATCATGTAGATAAGGGAATAATCTTTCACCTTTAAAAAACGGAATGACAGATTTCAGCCCAAGTGTAATAAATTCTGAGCAGGTAATTACTTAGAGAAAGCAATGAGAGTAAGACACATCAAACTTTTAAAGTGTTCACTTTTGAACATTAAAGTAAGTGGCAAGTAAATACAGAAAAATATATAATCACCAGTTCTCAGCTTTTTATCAATCCCTTTGTTTCTCTTCTTCCAGAAGATTCTGTGAGCACTATGTTGCTCTGATCAAAAGTGACTTCACTCCTCAAATATGATCATAGATTCAATGTGCATTATCATGGTTTCAGTAGATTCTCATTCAAAACCTTTTGGTGCCAGAAATGTATCAAATCATAAAGTTATTATATGCTTACCTCTTATGGAGAGATCTGGGCAAAGTTTGTATAAGAAATTTATCTTTTTAAAATTATCTCATAATTGTGGTAACACTTTTTTAAAGTAACCCTTTGGAAAATTTTTACATGGTACCCAAAGGCACTAGCTCACATAAGCGGTGAATGGCTGAAGGAAACAAAACAAAGCCATTTACGGGGTAAAGAGCACACACAGAAAAAGGGTATTAAAAGGGTAACTGTTAAGCTTTAAAGTTATTCTAAAAATGGCACTTTTCACGTTGGTAAAAAATGAAAGTGCTTTAAGATGAAATTTTTATGCATTTTTTTAAAGCTGACCTTTAACCCCCTGAAAATAGGGGGTGAAATGAGAACACTGATATCATTGTGGCAATAAGTGGATGTTGCTAAAATGCTTTGTGTGTCCTTCTTTTTCAGTATTTTTAATGTTGATAGACTTGCTTTATATGTGTATCATTAGTGAGATTTGCTCTTCAATTCTTTACTAGAAAGTTACAGCTCATTTAAAATAGCTGGTAGATACAGAAAGCATAAATATACCGTAAGTTTAAACACTGATTGTACTAAATGCAACAATACAAAGAAGCAAACAGAACACAAATGGTAACACAATAAAACTGTATTACATTTGTGCTTCAAATATTACAATACATTATATACAATAGTCCAAAATAAACATCTCATGCCAAGTGACACAAAAAAACGAATAGCAAGCAAAAAAATCCAGCAATATGTACATTACTTCTTTCTTTTATAATAAACATTCAACTCTGAACTGGGGCAATTTCACTACATACAGATGCAGTCCGCCTTTTATCCCATATAACCATCCTGCTTTCCTATATCTACGCTATTCAGTTGGTTCCTGTGTCAATTCTTATATACACGTGGAGCAAAAAAGATAAAAGAATGGAGTGCTTTGTATTCTTAATGGGGTGATGTTGATAGATCAGCGAACCTGGGGTGCATAACCTTCTTTCATTAAACCTTCCTCGTAGTCCGTCTGGCAAAGGATCATGTTATTCTTTAGGAAAAATTTGTCTCCAACACAAAATCTGAAAATATTTACAAAAATAAAATGTTTAAGATGACTTCACTCAGATCTATACATTTGAAGATTTCTTTTCCTAATCATCATTTCATCATTTCAATTTATGGTAATTCCCTGAGTTTGAAAGTTTGGCTTAGAAAGTTGCCTTGTTGTCAGAATTAAACCATTCTGGTCATTTAAGGAAATGCTACACACAAAATTCGAAATCCTACTTTTATATATAAAACTCATAAGAACATTGAGGAAAACACCTTGGGCAGCAAAGGTGATTTTTTTTTTTTTTTTTTTTTTTTTACCATATTGGAAAGAAAAAAAGAACTGATCTATATTTACATTCATTAAAACAATGATAATAATATTTCACGGCAGTGATTATGGAGGCTTTCATCATTGCCCATTTATCCATTTTATAAAAAAAGTAAAAGGCATTAAAATGAATCAAATGATTAGAAAATAGCCCATTTTACAGCTTCTCACTTAAAGCTTCCTTTTACTCTGTTATTAAAATGTGATTAAATTCTAGTAATTTGGAAGTAATTGTTCTGAAGTGAAAGTTATTTTAGCATCAGACTCAGACGCTGGGCCATATTCCTTTGTCTGTGGCAAGTTCACCAACTATGATGTAGTAAATGTATCTCTTAGAGTCCTTCCAATTAAACCAAAGGGAGTAACCTGATGAACTTCTTAACATTGATGTGATAAATAAACTAGTTTCCAGTAGCTAATTATGCATTTTATTCTATAAAGCATTGTTTAATGTGCAAGATTGTAATGTTTTTAATAAGTCCTCTTTTTGTATAATTTCCCAGTGGTGACACTTTGGACACAATTAAGGTCAGAAAAAATGCTTGCGCTGTTTCCGGTACATTTAACAATAAAGTAACTCTGGGGAGATTTGTATATATTTTTAATTGTAACAATTTAACCTTCAAACAGCAGTGTCTGGTAGAGTTGACCCAGTAAAACTGCTTGTAATTATATAAGTTGACCTCACTGACCTTTGATAGTAGTCTCTCTTTATCAGATAGTCAATTTCAAATGATGTTCAAGCAGAAATCTTAGTGGATAGATTAAATTGTGTCATGAAAGCCACCCTTTAATGTTTTGTGAAGTTGAAGGTTTAAATGAGGAGCAGTTGGGCTGATTTACATTTGCAAAGATTGGAATGCTAGACAAACAGCGAACCTATTTATTTTCCAACTGGGTAGCTTTGGAAATTTATCCTTATTCTAGCTAAGTAGATAGAGAGGAAAATAGTGTAATAAAAAAAGTAGTTTGAAAAGAATTAGCTTTCCTCTTAAAGGAAGATTGGTCTGTTTATTTGTGGAATTTACTTTTTTTCCCCAGGATTACTGCCTGCTGATGATGCTGATTGAAAGTACAGACTACACCCTGATCTTGAAATCCTGCAGTTGTCTGTGGTCAAGGCTACTGGGTACAATGAACATTCAAGTTTGGACTTTAAGTATATCTTCTTTTTATTAGCTGCAAACTATAAAATTGAAATATTGTGCTTAAAAAGTAGTGTTTGAATAAACCAGTTTTTGTAGATTATCCTGATCATTAAGATATGCTGAATAAAAGGAAATATTTCTTTTGTTGGGCAGGGGTAAGTAGCCAAATTAGATACTTATCTTTTATGTGAGATTATATAAAGTAGCATGCAGAATATATCTGATTACTGTTCAAATTTTTCGCTTTATATTAATGTTGAAATTAATTTGAATTGACTAATAAGCTAATAATAAAATATCCACCAAAAATAAATAATTTTAATAAAATACGCTCGTGTTCCAGCCGATGTTATTGAATCTTTTTTTCCCCTAAAAACCGACTAAACTGGAAGTACTTTTTCAACTCCATACTGTCTAAAATTTTGCTTTAATTTGTTAAAAAGCCTCCAAATTCTATTTGCTATCAAATAAAAACGTGTTTTGTTTTTGTTTTTTCTTTTGTCATGTTGTGTCATGTCATCCTTACCTTCAGGGGCCTTGAAATTTAGGTAATTTCTATTTGTAGATTAATACAATCGGAGTAATTATAGTGAGAAAAGCACTGAGCCAAGAGCCTGGGGATTTGGTCCTGAGTCCTGTGGCTCTCACCTACTCAATGCAAGATATAGGGTGTATTTCATACTCTCTCTGAGTCAGTTCTCTGTGGGTAAGATAAAACAACTACATCACTGGATGGTAGGAATGTTAAAATAAGAAGTATTTGAAAGGCAGAGAGACATTTGCAATGAATAGGGTTCAAATTCCAACCTTCCATTCACAATATTGAAAATGAAACTTCAGGATTTTGATCTTTAACATCAGTAAGTTCTGTAAGTTGGCAGTAAAGAGTAGAAATGTAATATGTAAAGCCTTCCCTCAATGTTTGGAATGTAGGTAATTAAAATAATCACCTTTTATAAATTACTTACCATGTGCTAAGGCTAAGCATGTATATACAGTGATCACATTTATTCCTTAAATCCAACTGAGAAAGTAAATATTAACATTGTCTTTTTCAGATGAAAAACCTAACACTTCCTGCCCAAGTTTCCATAGCTAGAATATGTATGGTAGAGGAAGGAAAAGCACCCTGGTCTCATTGGATTCAAGATCCATGCTTTTACAATTCATAATAGCCAAGACATGGAAACCTAACTGTGCTTTCACAGATGAATGGATAAAGAAGATGTGGTGCGCACACACACACACACACACACACACACACACACAGTGGAATACTACTCAGCCACAAAAAGAATGGAATAATGCCATTTGCAGCAATATGGATGGATGTAGAGTTTTTTTTTTTTATTTTATTTTTTTGTTCATTATGGATTTTTTAAATTTTTTTTTTGCAGTACGCGGGCCTCTCACTGTTGTGGCCTCTCCCGTAGCGGAGCACAGGCTCCAGACGCACAGGCTCAGCGGCCATGGCTCACGGGCCCAGCCGCTCCACGGCATGTGGGATCCTCCAGGACTGGGGCACGAACCCGCGTCCCCTGTATCAGCAGGCGGACTCTCAACCACTGTGCCACCAGGGAAGCCCATTATGGATTTTTTTTGCATCAATTTTTTAATTAATTAATTTTGGCCATGCCACATGGCCTGTGGGATCTTAGTTCCCTGACCAGGGATCAAACCTGTGCCCCCATTAGAGGAAGCATGGAGTCTTAACCACTGGACTGCCAGGGAAGTCCCGAAAGATTTTCACACTAAGGGAAGTACATCTAAAAGAGAAAGACAGATACCATATGATATCACTTACATGTGGAATCTAAAATGTGACACAAACGAACTTATCTACGAAACAGAAACAGATTCACAGACATAGAGAACAGACTTGTGCAAGGAGGAGAGAGGGGGAGGGAGGGATGGATTGGGAGTTTGGGATTAGCAGGTGCAAACTATTATATATACAATGGATAAACAACAAGGTCCTACTGTATAGCACAGGGAAACATATTCAGTATCCTGTGATAAACCATAATGGAAAAGAATATAAGAAAGAATATATATATATAGTATAACTGAATCACTCTGCTGTACAGCAGAAATTAACACATTGTAAATCAACTATACTTCAATTTAAAAAAAACAAATAAATGACTGAAAGCAATTTAAAAAAATCCATGCTTCTACCTGGAGGCGGTAAAGCATTAGGTTATGAAGTTATATAGGTTTTTGTATTATGATTACTTCTTTACATAGGTTTTCAAAAGAGAGCTTATTATTCAATGAGATGTTTGCAATATAAATGGAATTCATCTAAAATATTCCTACCTGAGATATGTTGTTACTAATATGTTGTCAACTGGATAAAGTACCTTTTATGTGCATATCAATTTATACTTAAAGGTCAAAATGAAACAGAACATAGGTGAGGAATGTCACACACATTTAACGTAAACAAAACAGGTTTGAAAGCTATAGTTAAGAACAGATTATGATTGCTTTGCAATTAGGATTGATATCTTCCTTTAAAATGTCATATATATAAACATGAAGAAATTAGAGGAATAGCAATGCAGATATCGGACACCTAACAAAATGATCTATAACTGCGATTTTGTAAGAAAGGCTAATTTCCAATGTTCTATAACCAGGTCCTGATGACATTTAGCATTTCAGAAAAATATTATAAAAATTGTGATGGCCAGAGGATAGCGTATGTATATATAGTAATAGGTCAGGCTAAAATTCTTGAAAATAAACTGATAATCTTCCTTATAAATTAATCTTAATCGCTTGTGATATAGTCAGTTCAATTAATTCTGCCATCATTAAAAAAATGTTAAGGAATAAAAAGATGCCCAATCTGGGCTTCCCTGGTGGCGCAGTGGTTGAGAGTCCGGCTGCCGATGCAGGGGACACGGGTTCGTGCCCCGGTCCGGGAAGATCCCACATGCCGCGGAGCGGCTGGGCCCGTGAGCCATGGCCGCTGAGCCTGCGCGTCCGGAGGCTGTGCTCCGCAACGGGAGAGGCCGCAACAGTGAGAGGCCCGCGTACCGCAAAAAAAAAAAAAAAAAAAAAGATGCCCAATCAGATTATTAAGCCACCTAATCTAAATATTTTAGAATTAACCATAGATTGAATTTCCAGACATTTTGGAGTAACTCCAGTTGAATTCATATGGTCTTAGAGACTTGAAAAGTACAGACGATAATTAAGAAATACGGGGCTTAGAGTAGTTTTGAGCGGGTTATCAAATGCCTCTGCTAGGAAGCTTTCATTTGTGATATCCTCTTTAAGAATGAAAATGTAAATTTAGTCATCTTATTTTCCTAACGTTAGTGACTGCCAATTATAATTAATTTCCATTTCCACAGCACTTTAAAAAGAAAGGGGATCCATTCCATATTTCCAATGTCTCTACTGTTCTATTTAGCATCCTCAGTTACTAAAAGATGGAGATTTTGATACTGTACTTTGTTTTCAGAAAGAAGTGCAGGTTATATACTCATTGTACACCTGTGAACAAATTTACTGTCTTCTCCCAGTGACAGCTCAGTTG